ATTTTTGTTTTTAGTACAGATGTATAGATCCATATAAACCAAACCCATTTTACCATCCACGAGAGTAGGACTGGATAGACATTTTTAAATGATTCTATTCTTTTTTAAAAAATATCAGCTTTAAGTTGGTTTAAAAAAATCAAAAACTCTGCAATTGTATTTGTTCATCACTGTCCTTATTCGATGGGGCTTTTGGAAAGAGAGTCCACTTGGAGTGGGGGGGGGGTCAAAAAAATAAGGAGAGCATCCATGACCGTGCAGTCAAAGCCCCACACCTTATTTACATGTGACACATGTAAAAGGGGGCAAGGTTTCAGTTGCGCAATTGTATTTCCTTGACACACACACACGCCCCATGGATGTACCTAAGCAACAGGATGGAAGAAAAGGAGAATCCAAGTCGGGGAGCAAAATTGAAAAATCTTTATACAGATTTTTCAAATATTATTTTTGTAGAAAATGCTCATTTCTTTTCTTTTTTTAACTGTTTAAACCAGTGTTTTCAAATTTGGCGACTTTAAGATGTGTGGACTTCAACTCCCAGAATTCCTCAGCCAGCATGGGGAATTGAAGTCCACACATCTTAAAGTTGCCAAGTTTGAAAAACACTGGTTTGAACCATTTTTGCATTCATGGAAACACACCAGAAGGGCCAGGATGGGGACAGATCATCCTGGAGAATGTCTATCTGTGAGGTCACTAAGAGTCAACACCTAATGGCCACCTAATCACCAATCAATCAGAAACATACATCTTTTTCAGAACTTTATTTTTACAAACACGTGAGAAGATTTGGCTCTGTTCAGTCCTGGAATAGAAAGAAGTCAATTTTGATGAAAACTGCAAATCCTCTCCACTAGAATCTATGGCAGATTTCTATTACATCCTAATTAATCCTTTAGTAAAGTAAATCCACTGTCTTTTATGAAATCCAGGTAAATATATCTAAATAAGACTATAAAAATACAAAATAAGGTGGGGGGTGCTGGCTACAAGTAATTTAAAAGGGGGAAGGGACATTTCACATTTCCACCAACTCTGAAGATTCACTGTCACTGTCACTCTCATCTTCATCCTCTTCATCATCATCATCCTCATCTTCCTCCTCCTCTTTCTTGGCCATATGACGATAATAACATAAGCTATCAGGGAAAAAAAGGGATAACAGAGTTGGGAACGAAGCAGAACTTAGAAGCAGATTTCAAGATTTCTAGCTTTGTCAAATTCCACCAGCAATCTCTTGTTTACTGGTGAGGCCCTACACGCCAGCCCTGGAGGATTCTAGGAAAAATTCTAAGATATGCCCTTGATTCAT